GGACTCAGCTCCCAGCTCCTGCCTTTGGCCTTGGCCCTGCCCTGGCTGTGGTGAACCTTTGGGGAGTGAACCAGCAGCAAACAGGAGCTCTCTTTTCTCTCTGTCTCTCAAATACTTATCAGAAAAGAAAACCTGAGCACCTGCCCACAGGCTGGGACAGGAGAGATTCCCTTGGCAAGCGCAGAGACTGGTTGGACCTCCTTGGACGGAACGGGCCTCCCTCGGAGTCACGCAGGGCTGAACCCCGGGCACTGCTGCAGACACTCTCATCACCACTGCTCTCTCCCTTATCTGCTAAGCCCTTGTCGCTTGTCATTCCGCTGTCAGCACAATTGTTCTGTTTGTTTGCGGGCTCTGTGGAACATGCACAGTTTACTTCCTGCCTCTTATCTTTTCTCCCCACACCATCAAGCCAACCTCAGCACTGACCATTTCTGCCTGGAAGGTGGGTCCCACCAACAGGGGTACAGAGGTCACAAAACTGTGTGTTCCAGCCGCTGGGGCCCTGTAGCTGAATCCCAGCCAGAATCCTCCCATCTGCTCCTCTGGGAGCTCTTAAAGAGCCTGGGCTTATTGCCAGGAGAGGGCACGGGGCATGCAGGAGAGTAACCACAGCACCAAAGCTCAGAGCCCTGATCCTACTGGCACCTGGTCTCAAGAGCAGCCTGTGTGTGTATGGGCCGGCACTGTGGCATAGTGGGTAAAGCCGCCAGCATCCCATATGGGTGCCGGTTCGAGACCCAGCTGTTCCACTTCTGATCCAGCTCTCTGCTATAGCCTGGGAAAGCAGTAGAAGATGGCCGAAGTGCTTGGGCCCCTGCACCCACATGGGAGACCTGGAAGAAGTTCCTGGCTCCTGACTCCTGACTTGGGATCGGCCCAGCTCCAGCCGTTGCATCCAATTGAGGCGTGAACCAGCAGATGGAAGACCCCTCTCCCTGCCTCTCCTTCTCTCTGTGAACTCTGACTTTCAAGTAAATAAATAAATCTTAAAAAAAAAAAAAAAAGAGCAGCCTGTGTTAAGCACCTGCTATGCAAACCCATGAAAGGAAAGAATCACTCCTAGCAAGCTGACATTAACAGCAAGTCTTTCCCCCTCCCCTTGCCAAGATCATAAAACTCCTTTGCACACTGGGGAGCTCAGTGTTCCCTCTGGAATGAAGCAGAGGGAGGGAGGGAGGGAGGTTCCCACTGCTGCTCTGAGCCAGACAGAGGGAGGCCAGCTTCAGGTCCACTCTTCACGGGGACCAGGTGCAGCAGCGAGTGTCACCTCAATGTGTGGCTTGGGTGTGGTCTGTCCCCTCCAGGTTCCTCTTGGGGCTTGTTCCCCACTGTGGCCGGACGAAGGCAAGGGCATGGTGGTGCAATGGATAAAGACACTGCTTGCAATGCCAGCATCCCCTATCAAGGCCAGGCTGTTCCGCTTGCAATCCAGCTCCCCACTGATGCTCCTGGGAAGGCAGCAGGATGATGGCCTGGGTGCTTGAGCCCTTGCCACCATGTGGGAGGCCCAAATGGAGCTCCTGGTTTCAGCCTGGTGCAGCTTCAGCCGTTGCAACTATTTGGAAAGTGAACCAGTGTATATAAGACCTCTCTCTCTCTCTCTCTCTCTCTCTCTCCTTCTGTCACTTTGCCTTTCTGGTACCTTTAAGAGGCGGTGCCTGCAGGGAGTGATTGTGTCACTCAGACAGGACTAAGGCTGGTGTTGCCTAGGGAGTGAGTTCTCAAATCGTGGGTTGTGGTGCTCTTTCAAAGACAGGACAGGTGTGGCTGGCCTCCAAGTCTGTGAGCCAAATAAACCTCATCTCTTGATAAGCACTAACCTTGCCTGTTTTGCTGTTGGGACAGAAAACAGCCCAGCACAACTTACTTATGGACGCCCAAGAGCTCAGCACGGCCACTCGCACCAGCTCAAGCAGCGTCTGTCTAACAAAGGAAGAAATGCAAGACCCAGTTCACAGAGGCCGATGCAAAATGCAAGAGCAGCAGCTGGATTTGTAGTGAGACCCGCAGGATGACGTGGAGTGCAAAGGCTGGGACCCCGCCCACCCCCACCGGCGCACACACTGCCGCCCCTTCTCACGACCAGGGGTCCTGGTGGCTTCCTGGGCAGGCTATGTCTTACAGGCTGCACTGAGCGGGTTTGAAATTCTCCATGATTTTGGAAGCCCCAGGGAAGGCGGTCTGGGCTGACCCTGAATGAGGCTGAAGGCAGAGGCTGACCCTGGGTGAGGAGCGTCTGAGGAGGTCACAGCAGTTGCTGTCTCGTGGGCTCCTGTAATCACGGAATTAGGTGAGGCGTGGTGCCAGGCAGAGAATGGGAGCCTGGAAGGTGCTGGCTTTTAGTATCTCCCTTTCTGTGTTCTTTTCCTTTTTTTAAAAAAATATTTATTTTTATTTATTTGAAAGGCAGACTTACAGAAAGGGAGGGACACACACACACACACAAAGAGAGAGAGAGAGAGAGAGAGAGAGAGAGAGAGAGAGAGAGATCTTCCGCCCTCTGATTAACTCCCCAATTAGCTGCAACAGTCAGGACCGGGCCATGCTGAAGCCAGAAACCTGGAACTCTATCTGGGTCTCCTATGGGGGTGGCAGGGACCCAAGCACTTGGGCCATCTTCCACTGCTTTCCCAGACCACAGCAGAGAGCTGGATCAGACACCTACTAGAGCTCATATGGGATGCTGGTGTTGCAGATGGCAGCTTAACCCACTGTGCCACAGCCTCAGTCCTAAAGATTTATTTATCTATTTGAGAGAGAGGAGAGACCCCAAATGGATACAACGGCCAGGTCATCGTTAGGCAAAGCCACCTGGGGTTTCATCCAGGTCTCCCACCTGGGTGCAGGGGCCCAAGCACTTGGGTCATCTTCTGTTGCTTTCCCAGGCCATTAGCAGAGAGCTGGATCAGAAGCAGAGCAACCAGGACTTGAACCAATGCACCGATATGGGATGCCGGCATTGCAGGTGGCAGCTTAACTCACCACCACAGTGATGGCCCCAGTTTCTGTTGCCTAAACTTCTGGATTTCACATTGAAAAGTGGAGAGGAAGGAAGTTCCTACTGAGGTTGATGACGTTCGTTAGCCTGCAGGTTTGCCACTAGAGGGCCGGGGCCAGGACCACGAGAACTGCCAGTATCCCCAGGCCCAGTCCTGCATCCACTTTCCAGAGCCGTGGCTCCGCAGAAGACAGAATCCAGCCTACAGGCCCGAAGATGCTCGGATTCCAGGATGACAGGTCCCCACAGCCAGGCCTCTTCCTTTCTCAGCGCAGGGCCTCTCAAATTTCCAAAGGGATCGTCCTAACAATTCCAGGAACTGGGAAGGCGGTGTGCAGGCCCTGGGTGGAGCGAGGTCACTGGCCTAGCTCCAGAAGTGGCTGCAGATAAGGCACTTGCAGCAGGGACTCGCCCACACCCACACGGCTTCCTTGGGGCCTTCAGAGTCCAGAGCCAGGGGCTCAGACAATGGAGGGTGGGTCTCCTTCACCCCCACCCCCACCCCCAGGAGCTGCTTGTGACCTGGTGCCTGAGGAGCCCCAACACTTTCACTAACAGCAAGACTGTCCCCATCAGGGCAGAGCCTGGGGCATCGGGAGCTTCTCTCACCTGTGACTTGGGGACACAGTGAGGGAGTCTTTGTGATTCTTTGCTAAGGGACCACATTGTGAGTTCCTCAAAATTTTTTTTCCTCCAATGTTTGCTTATCAATTCCATTTATTCAGACCGAGACTGTAGACAAATGGGCCAGGATTTCCCACGTATCATGCAAGCATCTTTGAAAAAGGCACGAGGGGCTGGTGTTGTAGCACAGCAGGTTAAACCAGCGCTTGTGATGCCAACACCCCTTACTGGAATGCTGATTTGAGTCCCTGCTGGTGCACCTGGGCAGGCAGTGGAAGATGGCCCAGGCAGTCGGGCCTTTGCCACCCATGTGGGAGACCCGGATGGAGTACCAGGCTCCTGGTTTCCACATGTCCCTGTTCCAGCCTTTGCAGCCATTGGGAGAGTTGAACCAGTAGATGGAAGACTCTCTCTCTCTCCCTCCCCCCCACCCACCTCCATCCCTGTCTCTTCTTGTTGCTTTGGCCTTCTTTTTTTAAAAAAAGACTTATTTATTTATGTATTTGAAAGGCAAAGTTCCAGAGAGTCAGAGGCAGAGAGAAAGAGAGAGGTCTTCCATCTGTTGGGTCACTCCCCATATGGCCGCAATGGCTGGGGCTGGGCCAGACCAAAGCTAAGAGCCAGGAATTTCTTCCAGGCCTCCCACATGGGTACAGGGGCCCAAGCACTTGGGCTATCTTCCACTGCTTTCCCAGGCCACCAGTAGAGAGCTGGATCAGAAGTGGAACTGCCGGGACTTGAACCGGCACCCATAAGGGATGCCAGCACTGCAGGCAGCGGCTTTACCTACTATACCACAGTGCCAGCCCCTCTTTGGCCTTCAAATAAATAAATAAACAAATCTTTAGGAAGAAAAAAGAGGAAGTGCAAATTTACTTTCAGGGTCAACAGGCATTAGCAGGTGCAGACATGAAGCGTTCGCACCTTTCATAGAATGGCAAGGACACTGAGCCAGGCAAGGCAGGGCAGGAAAAAGACTGGAGCCAGGGCCCTGCTCTCGTGGTGGTGCTGATGGATGGGTCCTGTAAATACTTTCTCCAGGAAGACTCTGAGCCCTAAATCAAGGCTGTGCAAGACCGGGCCAGCTGTACCGAGGCGGCATTGTAAAATCTTACAGACGTTACTGCATCGCATTCTCTGCCTATCAGAGCACAGGTCCACACAAAGCACACTAAACAATGGACAACCTGAAACGGGAGTGAAGAAAACAATCCCATTTACAATGGTATCAAAAAAGGATAAAATACCTGGGAATAAACGTAACCAAAGAGGCAAAAGACTTAAACATTGGAACATAAAAAACACAAATGAAAGAAATGACAGAAGAAATAAATAAGTGGAAAGACAGCCCTATCCTCGCATTGGGAGACTTTTTTTTTTTTTCCATTTAAAAATCATTTTATTATTAACATCATCTTCCCATTTAGCCAAGTGTCTGTCATGTATAAGGAATGTCGGTAAATATTCCATTTGCAGCTTCTTTGTACATATTTCCATCGATAAATAAACTCTGAATTCACATAAAAAAGTTAAACTTAAATAACTCATATTTCCTTCTCTCGTAACAGGCATATATTGGTAAAATATAAATATTCTTGGACTCGCGCTTTGTTCTAAGTGAGGACAGTAATTCATCACGTGGTACAATCATTGACAATAAAACCAAGAAGTTGTCAGCTGGTGTCCCGGCATAGACTAGTGCTGAGGTGGGGAACAGAAAATTCACATTGGTTTCTGGGCCGCGCTGGGGCAGGAGCGGGGGTGGGCAGGAGGGGACAGCTCTGATAAAAATATCTGCTCTGCCACTCGCCTTCCACTTGGAATAGATTCTCCTACATGTGCTGATTAATTCCATCATCTTTTTTTTTTTACTGAAAACTCGATGCTAGCTGACAAAATATGGCACATTATCCACTGAGCACAACGTGTTGGTTCAGAAACGATCGCCGGGCTGGCAAAGGACAGGGAGGTGCGTGTGGACACAGCGGGGTCGGTTTGGTTCCTTCACTGCGGTCCCTGGGGCACCCACGGGGCCTCAGTGTGGCAGACGTGCGCCCTCGGGGTGGCAGGACGCTCACAGCACGCGGGGGATGATGGTGAAGGGCACGGCGGGGCTGCTGGCCTCCAGCTCCAGGGCGGTCAGGAAGCACTCGGTGGCGGCCGCGTCGTTGCCCTGCGCTTGGAGGACCTCGCCCAGCCCGTTCCAGACCTCGTGGGCCGTGGAGTTCACCTGCACCGCGTCCCGGAGGATCTTCTCCGCCAGGCTGTAGCGGCCCAGCTGGTGCAGGATCAGGGCCAGTCGCTGCATGCTCTTCACGTGGGTGGGGCTGATGGACAAGGCTTCCTCATACCAGCGCTGGGCTTCCTCCAGGTGGCCGCGGAGCTCAGCGACCTGGCCCCGCATGTACAGCACGTTGTGGGACATTGGGAAGAGGTTGGCAGCTTCCTGGGTGCAGGCGGTGGCTTCCGCGGGCTTCTCGATGCCGATGTAGACTTCCGCTGCGTGGAGCCAGATCTGTGCCAGTGTCATCCAGGGGTGTAGTGGGCCCTGCTTGGGGGCGCTGCTCTGCAGAGACGAGGCCACTTCCGACAGAGCCTGCTCCACCCTGGAGGCTGCTACTGACGTGGCGTGGACAGAGCCTGTCTCGGGATCGCTGAAGTCTGGCAAAGTGATGGTGTTCAGCTGCCGTCTGTCTGCGATGGTCCGATCCAAGAGGCTGCTCCCTCGTCCCGAATCACTGGGGTTGGTGAGGTTGTAGCAGGATTTCCATATTTGTAACATGTGCTTACAGGTGAGGAGCGCCTCATCCGGGCCCCGGCAGAGCGACTCCAACTTCACTTTGGAGAACAGCAGTATGAAATTTTCTGGATATTCGCTCAGGGCCATGTCGATGATGTTCAGAGCGTCGTGGTAGTGTTTTTGTGCTGACAGGAGGAGGGCGAGCAGGTGCAGGGAGTTGGCATCATCCCCCTGAAGTTGAAGAGCTTGGCGGACGTACCCCAAAGCCTCCGGTATCTGCCTGGAGATGGCAAGCTGCAGAGCCAGGTAGAAGGCAGCCTGGTGATCTGTAGGCGACAGGCTGTGGGCCCTCTGAAACGCGAGCAGCGCCTTTCTCTGCAGGACCTCCTGCATCCCTCGCAAAGAAGCATCAGTGGCCTGCAGGCTGTACGTGAGTCCCAGAGCTAAGTAGCCTTTGGCCTTGAACTCGGATGTTTTCTCTCCCACATCGACAACAGTTTTGGCAAAATTTTCAGCTTCTTCCAGCCAGTGCAGGGAGCCCATGCACAGCTTGGCGGCGAGCAGAGGGATGGTGGCGTCGTCGGGCTTCAGGCGGATGCACTCCTTCAGCACCTTCACGGCTCGGGCGGATTTCCCAGCAGCCATTAGCGAGAGAGCAAACTGGTACCAGAGGTGGAACTCCTCGAAGGCAAACTTCATGGCTCTTTCTAAGCACTCCGACAGCATCTCATACTGGCCTCTTCTTCCCAGAGCAATGGTCAGTAAGTCATAGACCACAGACGCACTCTGCAGGCTGATGAGGCAGTCACTCTTGTGCTCGGGGATCCTGCTTAGCACAGCGTCCCGGTTGGCCATTGATTCACTAATCAGCAGTAACAACAGGGCTTCTTCAGTGTTTTCTTGAGGACAAAAAATGTTCTCTCCTGCGTAGACGCGGGCTCTGCGGGTGAGGGTGTAGGTTTTCGTGTTGGCTCCTTTCCGGAGAGGGTCGTCCAGAGGCAACTGGCAGGGCGGGCTCTCCAGGGGGTTCCAGTAGCTCTGCTCACACATGCCCCGCAGCAGGATCTCGGCCAGCTGCCTGGCTATCGTCATTCGCAGGTTTTGAGTGGTCCTTGTTTCGACTGCTCTGAGGATCTCTCTGAATCTCCCGACTCCTCTCGTCAAGTTCCCATTTTTGAAATAGAGGACATGGGCTCTCTGAAGTCCTGTTTCTAGGAAAAACCCTAGTTCTTGATCGTGGGGAGCAGGGCCAGGCTTGGGGCTTCTGTTCTGAATATTAGAAAGTATTACCCTCTCTATCTCCTGGAGGTACAGGAGGGCGATGTCCCCCGCTTTCTCGTAACAGGTGATGACATCCTGCTCCCGGTCCACGTGGAGGTTACTGGTAGAAGACGAGATAGGCAGCTTCTCTAAACACAGTCCTTTGGTAGCGTAGGCCTCAGCGATCACCCGCAGCCGGTACGGAGGCGCCGCCGTGAGCGGCAGGTCATCCAGGCCCACTTGTGCGTAAATGTTCAGGGCTTCCTTATAATCGCCTTCCACGTAATTCAGCTTGGCCATGATCAGACTGGATTCTTGTAGGAATTCTGACTTGAGGTTCCCTCGGTCCAGGGCAGCGGTCAGATGCTTGCGGACCTCGGTCAGCTGCGGCCGGGGGCCCCGGGGGCTGGCCCCCTGCCGCAGAGGGTGCTCCTTCAGGAACTGCTCCAGCTTCGACTCCCCGAGGAGGAGCTCGGCCATGTCATCGTTGGCGATGGAGCTTTGGCCGGACAGCTGCCTTGACGAGCTCGGGGGATCCGCTCCCCAATTGGCACTTGGGAGCGGCAAGCCTCGGATTTCCGTCTCCAACCGGGGAGCCCGCCTTCTTTGGTTCGCCATTCCGGCCTGGCCGGGCCCGGCCCCGCCCCGCCTGGCAAGGCCCCCGCAGGCCCCGCAGGCCCCGCCGCCGCCGCCGCCGCCGCCGCCGCCGCCGGGGCGCCCCCTCGCCGCCTGGGAGACTTAATGTTGTCAATATGTCAATACTACCCACAGTGATCTGTACCTTTAATGCAATCCGTATGTAAATATCCGGGATATTTTCTGCATAAATAGATGCATTCATACTGCAATGCGCAGGGGCCCTAAATATCAAAAAGAACAAAGTTGGAGGACTGAGTCTTCCTGATTTCAAAATGTGCTGCAGATCTGCAGTAATCAAAGCAATGTGGTACTGGCATGACGACAGAAATGCAAACCAAGGGAATAGCACAGAGAGCCCAGAGATCAAATCTCAAACACGTGGTTAAATGATTTTTCAACCAGGATGCCAAGACTGATTAATGGAGAAAGGATTTTTTTTTTCCAACATATGCTGTTGGGAAAATGAGGACTCTGCATTGAAAACCATGAAGCTCCCTCCACTTTTTCCTTACACCATTCGCAAAAATCACTTTATAGTAGATCAAAGACCTAAACGTAGGCCTGAAACTCTTAAATGAAAAATGATGACATTGGGTTTGGAAAAGATGTGACACCAAAAAGCAGGGAACAAGATAAAAATAGATAAATTAGACTGTTCAAAACTTAAACATGTTCGTGCTTTAGAGAACATAACTAACAGAGTATATAGAAAATCTACTTAGAGAAAACAGTCATAGATCCCATGCCTGATAAGGCTATATGAAAACTTCCTGCATCTGAACAATAAATAAAATTTTAAAAATAAATAAAATATAAATAACAGCAATAAAACAAGCTACCTAATTATAAAGTGGTCAGGGGCTAGTTCTGTCTGTGACACAGTAGTGAACCTGGTATCCAATATGGGCGCCGGTTCTAGTCCTGGCTGCTCCACTTCTGATCCAGCTCCCTGCTGATGGCCTGGGAAAACAGTAGAAGATGGCCCAAGTCCTTGGGCCCCTGCACCCACGTGGGAGACCCGGAAGAAACTCCTGGCTCCTGGCTCCTGGCTCCTGGCTCCTGGTTTCAACCTGGCCCAACCATGAGCATTGCAGCCATTTGGGGAGTGAACCACTGGATGGAACATCTCTCTTTCTCTCTTCCTCCTTCTCTCTCTCTGTAACTCTGCCTTTCAAATAATAATAAAAAATATTTGGGGAAAAAATAATCCAAGGACTTGAATAGACATTTCTACCAAAAAATATATGCAGATGACTAATAAGCCCGTGAAAAGATGCTCGTCATCTGTCATTAAGGAAATGCAAATTTAAACCTCTAGAATAGTAAATGTTGGTGAGCACATGGGAAAATTGGAACCCCTGAGAAGTGTTAGTGAAAGTACAAGATGTGCAGCCACTCTGGGAAACAATGCAGTGGTTCTTTAAAGGAAGAAGAAGGAGAAGGAGAAGAAGAGGAAGAGGAAGAAGAAGAAGAAGAAGAAAAATAAAAATAGCATTACCATCTAATCAAGCAATTCTACTTCTAGGCAAATACAAGAGTTGAAAGCAGAATCTTCTTTTTTAAAAAAATATTTATTTATTTCAAAGTCAGAGTTGGAGAAAGAGAAGAGAGAGAGAGAGAGAGAGAGAGAGAGATCTTCCATCCTCTGGTTTGCTCCCCAAGTGGCTGCAACAGCCAGGGCTGGGCCTGGCCAATCCAGGAGCCAGGAGCTTCTTCCAAAAGTCTCCCACATGGATATAGGGGCCCCAGTACTTAAGCCTTTCTCTGTTGCTTTCTCAGGCACATTAACAGGGAGCTGGATCAGAAGTGGAGCAGCCAGGACTCAAACCGGCACCCACATGGGATACTAGCACCGCAGACGACTGCTTAACCTGCTGCGCCACAGCGCCAGCCCCAGAAAGCAGTGTCTTGAAGACATTTGTACTGCTGTGTTCCTAGCAGCAATAAGCACAATTGCCAAGAGGTGGAGGCAACCCGGTGCCCACCAGCACACGAATGGGTAAACTGGTTGTGACCCAAACACACAATGGAGTGCACTATACTCAGCCTGAAGAAGGAAGGAAGGGAATGCTGTCACGTGGGTGCACCAGGAGCTGCAGGTCTTCCAACAGCCCTGGCCTGGTTCATCTGAGGGAAAGCCACTTTGTCCAGGCAGAAATGCATCCCTTAGTTACACTGGTACCAATCACAGCGAGGACGGTAATTTTGCATTTATTCTGTTGCACGGAGTTCTCTGATGAACAGTGTTGCATCCATTCTCCAGACTGGAAAGCTGAGACTTCAAAGGCTTAAGAAAAATCTTTCCCATCCTAGACCACAGGAGCATTAAAGCAGCAGAGGGGGGTGAATACGGGCCACCAGACTCCTTTGGGGAAACTCTTGCTGTTTAAGAGCCCATCTTTGTGGTGTGAAACCACACCTGTTGCACCATCTGCCTGGGTGCAATGGACCCCGTTGGTCACTTCTCCTGGGCTCACCCCTGTGGTTTCAGTCTGTTGGTGGCTGGGGCTAGGAGCCACCTGGAGGTTTGACCAGGCTGAAGGGGTACTGCCTCCATGTGGCCTCTCCTGCGACGCCCTTGCAGGAGCAAGTGTTTTAGCAGAGAAAACGCTACACCTGTCTGCTCACCATGACGTCATTCTCTCCCTTCCTCTGGGGAAGCAGTGCAGCAGCTCCTTCAAGGTCAAGGCCGGATGATGCCAGCCCCACCACTTAAGCCTGTCTGCAAAGCTCCTCTTCTCCCTGCATCTCTGGAGGAGCACACATCAACTTTACAGGCACCTGCCACCATCAGTGTCCCCAAGGGAGGGCTGACTTCCGCACCTGACCCAGCAGCCCTTCAGTCACCAGCCCGGAACCAAGGATGTGCGGAACCAGGGTACGTGAGGATGTGCGGGGAGGGCCTGGCCTTTGCCCTGCAGACTCAGAGTGGGAAGGAGTGGGAGAAGGAGCCCACGGGGAAAGGGCAAGAGAGTCTCCATAGAACAAAAGCTTTGGAGGTGGGCGCTGTTGGGGTGGTGGCTCTTGGGGAGCAGTGCACACCAGGCAAACACATCCGGAGCTCCGCTCTGGGTTCTGCAGGTAGCCTGGCAGAAGGCCCAGCTGCTCCTGTCTGCCTCCTGAGAGAACAGCCCTCCCTGCTCCGTGGGGCTATGCAGCTGGCGTGGTAAGAGGGTTGAGCCAAGTGCCAGTGCACCGTCTACCCCGTGGGGACAACACCTACAGGACAGCTGGGACACAAGACATTCTGCCCCATTCACTGCATTGCTCCTATTGCCTTAACCTGCATTCAACTTGAGTTTGGCTTTTCTGATGCATGTTTTCTTCCTATGGTAACCAAAAGGTTACCTGTCACAGCATTGCACTGGTTGGATCCCCTGCACGTTTTTCGATGTCACTGAATAATAATTTCCAAAGAAGCTTCGGGAATCTGGGAAGGCAGGTTTGCAAAAAATCAAAGTTAAAAATGTCGGAATGGACTTGCAAAACTCACATTACTTGTATTCCATGCACCTCCCCCACCACCAACCTGCTAAAGGCTTCCAGCTGCCCTGACACAGCTGGCCTCCCAGGCTTATCTCAGCCTTTCACCTCACTCATCTACTTCCTGGACCACCCAGCTGGGTGTCCAGCACCTGCCCCTGTGTTGGGAGGGATGGCTCAGCTGCTACAGTGACATCTCTGCAAGAAATCCCATTGAGGCTTCTTGCCGAGTGTACCTTGGCCCTGACTGCTAGTGTTGCTCCTAAAGTTGTCTGATTAAGAACTTCCAATGCATGGAGTCCAAGGCACCACCCTTGTGCAGGTCAGGCTAAGGGGAGCAATGGCATAGAGCCCTGGGGTTCTCGCAATGAATGTGCTCTCCAGGCACCTGCCAGCGACGGCAGCTTCCCAGGGAACATAAATGCACACACGTGACTTCTATGTTGATACTTTCTGTGGACCCAAGCGATAAATCAGAAACTCTGGCACGTGTTTTGGTCAGCTACGAGCTTACTTACCTCACATCTGGCAGGATGTTGGGAGTTAGAAGCTAGAGAAGGAAGACGACCAGGTGCAGGACTATCTAAGACCCTCCCTTGCTGAAGGGTTCCCCTCACAGGGATGGGTTCAGTGCCAGTGCAGAGTTCAGAAAGTAGCCCTCAGTTGCAATGCCTTTGCTGGCGTCTTGTGGAACCGTGCAGAAGCACAAGCAAGGATTTCCTCTGCACCTTGTTCTTGCAATACCTTGGAGCAAGGCTGTCATGCTGTGGTGCTTTATTTAGCTCTGTTCCCCATAATGGGAGACAGGTGTGCTGTGATAAGTATACAAATCTTTGCACGTGTGGATGCACACAGTGAATGTTCCTACATGGAGACCCATTTGGAGACAGTATAAGCAGTTTTTGTTTTGTTTTGTTTTGTTTTGTTTTTTGAGACATGGTACCAGTCATCCTATGCCCAGGTGGTGCTGGTTTATTCGCGTTCTTTCTTCTGCCCTGTCTCGCATGCAGCTCTTTCCCCCTACAGAAGTTTGCCACTTGTCTCATTCTGTCCAACATGCTGGCTCCGTGGCACAGGTGGGAAGGTGTCAGTCCCCTGAGCTTGTGGCTGGGCCAGGCTGAAGGCAGGAGCCAGGAACTCAGTTTGTGTCTCCCTTGTGGGCTGCAGTGATACAAGCACCCCAATCATCCCGAGCCGCCACTCAGGGTGCATACTGGCAAGAAGCTGGACTTGGGAGTGGAGCCAGGCCCCAAGCCCAGGCGCTCCACCATGGGATGCCCGGGTCTTAGGTAGTGTCCTAACCACAGTGCCCAATGCCCACTCCCAGTGTTGGCATGTTACTGGGGGAAAGCCAGGAGAGACAATCCAAGGATCTTGGAGGGTGCCAG